GAGCAAAGCTCGAGTTCAGGGCATGAGAAGAAGGAGGGCAAGAAATCGTTCGTATCGGGCGAACGGCCGAAAGGCCAAAAGTTTAGAGATGGCCCGAATGGGGGTAGGTACGAAAGGTACACCTCGTTGAATATGCCAAGGGCTAGAGTGCTAGAGGAGGGCCTGAGTGCAGATCTGATTCGGGTAAGACCGTCCCGGTCATCACCCAAGGCTGATGGAACTAAACATTGCACCTATCATCTGAACATAGGGCATAACACCGAGGACTACACGGTGTTGAAGGATAAGGTGGAGGAACTGATCCGAGCGGGTCACCTGAAGAAGTTTGTGAAGGAGGAACGGAGGACGAGGAGCCCACCCAGGAGGGCTAGGGTGGAGCGAAGTGATAGGAGAGAAGACAGGCGCCCCGACCGTAGGCGGAGTAGAAGTCGTAGCCATGACCGATCGCTGCATGGAACGATAAACACCATTTCGGGAGGTTTCGCAGGAGGGTCATCGGCGTCCGCTAGAAAGAGAAACTTGAGGGAGTTAAAAAGCGTCCACAGGGTAGATGTGAGAAAGCACTCTATGCCGCCAATCACGTTTACGGATGAGGATTTCCATACTCCCGATCCAGATGAGGATGACCCGATGGTAATAACAACTGTTATTGCCCGATACAGCGTTGGAAAGGTGTTGGTGGACCAGGGAAGTTCCAACAGATGGACATATCCGAGGATCTGATCGCCCCGTACAACGAACAGATAGTAGGATTTTCGGGAGAAAGGGTGGATACGAGAGGATATGTGGACCTGAGAACTTGCTTGGGAACCGAGCGGAGTAAGGAGATAAAAACCAGATTTTTGCTGGTGGACGCGAACACCTCTTATAATGTGTTGTTGGGATGACCGTGTTTAAACGCATTCGGGGCCATTGTTTCCACACCTCACCTCACGCTCAAGTTTTTGTTAAGCAACGGAACCATCGCTAGAGAGTGTTATATAGTCGGGCTTAAGGTTCAGCCATCGTCATCGGATCCACCCAGTCAGCACAGAAGGAGACGATCGGAGGTAGCCATGGCAGATTTAGATCCAAGGACTAATACCGATGATCGGATGAAACCTATGGGGGAGATAAGGCCCTTCAGTCTTGGACCGAAGGAGGAATAGGTTACCACCATTAGGAGTGAGATGGAGGAGGATCAAGCCAGGACAATAGGTGCTGAGTTGAAGAAGAACCAGGATTTGTTTGCTTGGACTGCAGCCGACATGCTTGGAATCCACCTAAACATTATGTCACACAAGCTGGCATTGTTCAAAGAAGCCCGACCGGTGGCCCAGAAGAAGAGAAGACTAGGGGAAGAGAAGAGATCGGCAGTGGCAGTTGAGGTGAAAAAGTTGTTGGAAGCAAATTTCATTCGTGAACTCAAGTACACAACTTGGCTGGCGAACGTTGTGATGGTGAAGAAGCCGAGCGGGCAGTGGAGAATGTGTATGGACTTCACGGATCTAAACAAAGCTTCCTCCAAAGATTCTTATTCGCTACTAAGTATTGATGCGTTAGTGGATGGGGCTTCGGGGTTCTGTGTGCTAAGTTTCCTGGATGCATATTCAGGATAGAATCAGATTTCGATGTTTCCCCCGGACATCGATAAGACAACTTTTATCACTGAGCGGGCTAACTATTGTTATGAGGTTATGCCGTTCGGGTTGAAGAACGCGGGGGCTACCTACCAACGGCTGATGGATAAGGTTTTTTCTGACCAAATAGGCATATGCATGGAGGTTTATGTGGATGACATGGTGGTAAGAAGTCGTTCGGTAGAAGACCATGTGAAGGATCTTGCGGAGGTTTTTCATCAGGTTCGCAAGTACTACATGCGCCTTAATCCGGCCAAGTGCACTTTCGGGGTACCGGCAGGAAAGTTTCTAGGTTTCCTACTAACAACTAGAGGCATAGAGGTGAACCCCGACAAGTGCAGAACAATACTGGAATTGAGAAGTCCTCAAAAGCTGAAGGAGGTTCAGAGGCTGGTAGGGAGGCTGACTTCATTATCTCGCTTTATTCCAAAGCTGGTCGAGCGGATAAAGCCGATAGTAAGGATTATGAAGAAAAGTGCGGGCACTGATTGGGATGACCAGTGTGAGCAAGCATTTGACGAAGTTAAACGCATATTGGTCAGCCCGCCGGTCATGGGACGACCTGATTCGGGGCATGCGTTACAACTACTCCTGGCGGTCTCGGAGGACACGGTCGTATACTTCGTCAGTTGAACGTTGCAACCGGCGGAAACCAGATACAAGCGGGTCGAGAAGATCGCTCTGGCACTGGTGATGGCGGCACGGCGCCTAAGGCCGTACTTTCAGAGTCATCAGGTGATAGTCCGAATAGATCACCCGATCGCGAAAATCCTGCGTAAACCAGACCTGGCCGGGAGAATTGTAGGATGGTCCGTGGAGTTGTCTGAATTTGGGCTCTAGTTCGAACCAAGAGGGTCAATACAAGGGCAACATTTGGCCGACTTCGCGGTCGAGTTACCGTGGGAAGAAGAATGCCACCAAGAGTGGACCCTTTATGTGGATGGCTCTTCTGAGCGGTCCGGCTGTGGGGCAGGAATTGTGTTGGAGGGACCGGACGGCTTTGTCGTAGAGTAGGCAATCGTCTTTCAGTTCAAGATAAGTAACAATCAGGCCGAGTACGAAGCAGTAATAGCCGGGCTCGAACTGGCTAAGGACTTGGGTGCGGTTTCGGTCAAATGCCGAACGGATTCCCAGTTGGTCGTAGGGCAGTTGACTGAGAGCTTCCAGACCAAAGATGATCAGCTGCTTTGTTATTTTCATAAGGTAAAGGAGTTGGTGAAGCAATTCTAGACGGTGGAATTTAAGCATGTGCCGAGGGAGCAGAATGCGAGGGCGGATGTCTTATCTAAGCTCGCCAACAGTAAGGGGAAAGATCATTTGTCGTTGGTCATAAGGCAGGTTATGATGAATGATGGACAAATTTATGAACACCAAA